ATGTGATGATGATGATGATGATTATGATGATGATGATGTGATGATGATGATGATGATGATGATGATGATGAGATGCTGATGATGATGATGATGATGATGATGATGATGATGCTGATGCTGATGCTGATGCTGATGATGATGATGATGATGATGATGATGATGATGATGATGATGATGATGATGATGAGATGATGATGATGATGATGATGATGATGATGATGATGATGATGATGATGATGATGATGATGATGATGATGATGATGATGATGATGATGATGATGATGATGATGATGAGGAGGAGGAGGAGGAGGAGGAGGAGGAGGAGGAGGAGGAGGAGGAGGAGGAGGAGGAAGAGGAGGAGGAGGAGGAGGAGGAGGAGGGGGAGGAAGCGGACAGGATGGCAAGGCGGGTAGACGCGGCGGCCCAGGCGCCCAACGTCATGAATTTTCCAGAACGTCGACCCCCAGAGGTCTGGACGAATTTCCCTACGGTAGGTTCGTGCGGCGTCGGCATTCAGAAGGCTCTTGGCACCGCGTTGATTGTTCAACCTTGAATCGATCGCGGCCCCGATCGTTCGAGGTTGAATTTCGACGGGTACAGTGGCCCCACCGTGTCCCTCGGTGCGCGATGCCTCTCAGAGAAGCCTCTCGGAGAAGCCTCTTAGAGAAGCCTCTCAGAGGCATCAGGCATCAGAGCAGCCTATCTGAGGCCTCAGAGAAGCCGATCAGAGAAGGCTCTCAGAGGCCCCAGGGAGGTCTTTTAGAGGCCTCAGAGAAGCCTTTCAGAGGCCTCAGAGAAGCCGATCAGAGAAGGCTATCAAAGGCCTCAGAGAAGCCCTTTTTTTTCAGAGGCATCAGAGCAGCCTTTCAGAGGCTTCAGAGCAGCCTATCAGAGGCCTCAAAGAAGCTTATCAGAGGCCCCAGAGAAGCCTATCAGAGAAGCCTCTGAAAGACCTCAGAGAAGAGTCAGACAAAGGCATCAAAAAAGCTTTGGAAAAAAGGCTTCAGAAAAGCTTTTGGAAAAAAGGCTTCAGAGAAGCCTCTGAAAAAAAGGCTTCAGAGAAGCCTCTGAAAAAAGGCATCATAGAAGCTTCTGAAACGGCTTCAGAGAAGCCTCTGAAAGGCTTCATATAATCCTCTGACAAAAAAAGCTTCTTCAGAGAAGCTTCTGAAAGGCTTCAGAGAAGCCTCTTTTTAAAAAAGGCTTCAGAGAAGCCTTTGAAAAAGGCATCAGAGAAGCCTCTGCGAAAGGCTTCTTCAGAGAAGCTTTTGAAAGGCTTCAGAAAAGCCTATGAAACAGAAAGGCTTCAGAGAAGCCTTTGAAAAAGGCATCAGAGAAGCCTCTGCGAAAGGCTTCTTCAGAGAAGCTTCTGAAAGTCTTCAGAGAAGCCTCTGGAAAAAATAAGGCTTCAGAGAAGCTTCTGAACAAAAAGACTTGAGAGAAGCCTCTGAAAGGCCTCGCTGAGGCTTCTGTGAGGCCTGTCAGAGGCCTCTTCGAGGCCTATCAGAGAGCTCAGCAGAAGCTTAGCAGAAGCTCTTGGATCGGTTGCAATCCGGTGTTCTCCAGAAAGGTTTGTTTAGCAATCCTTTAGGTTACGATCAGCCCGTTTTCAGTGTTTGCAATTCGACCGAAGTAGTTCCTGAACAGTCCGAAGTGGTTGTAATCGGTCTTATTCCCCTCTATCCCTCCCTCCTCCTCCCCCCTTCCCTCCCTCCCTGCCTCCCTCATCCTCCTCCACCTCCTCCTCATCGTTCTCCTCCTTATCCCTCATCCCTCCCTCCTTCCCCCCTCCCTCCCTTGCTCCCTCTTTCCGTCCCGCCCTTCCTCCTGCCCCTTCGTCCATATTCTTTATAAGTACCTCTTCCAGGCGTGTCGGTAGGGTGGACTGGGCGTTTCGCCTGAGATTTTTTCTCACCGCCTATGATCCAGAAGCTTGAGATCTGCAGCACTTTCAATGATGGTGGGCGGGCCGTTTTCAGAATAGAGTTTTCGCTTGACAGCCACACACCCGCACGCACACGCATACATACACACACTCGTGTGACAATTTCGCAGCTGTTTCAAGGGCGGAGGGCAGGCCGCGTTCAAAATGGAGTGGGGGTCTAAATGTGTTCTCACCTTAGCGCCGCGCAGTTATATATATATATATATATATATATATATATATTATATATATGTATATGAGAACTGTATAAAAAGAAAGGACCACATTTTCAAGCAGTTCCAGGGATGGAAGGGGGTCGTTGTTCAAGTGGCGCTCTCGTCTGAAGGCCGCGCACATTTGTCTCAACATTTTGCAACATTTTCTGGTATGGAGGGTGGTTACCCTCAAAGTTGTGATCTCGCTATAGCGCCGTGCACATGCGTCTCAAAGCTCGCATGGCCCTGATTCGTAGGTCGACCCTGCCAGCTCAAGGGTACCCATGTGTCCCGTGCCTCGCGACACGTGCCTTCTTACACTTCTGTGGCGATGTGGCCTTCGGAAGGGTCTTGTGTCCTCTCGCGTGTCCTCTTCAATCAAGTCCGACTGTATTGCAGTATCGGTGATGCATCTTGGATTTGCTTTGGTATTCCTCCCTCCCTCCCGCCCTCTCTCCCTCCCGGCCTCTGCCCCTCCTTCCCTCCCGCTCCCGCCACTCCCTTCCTTTTTCCTCCTCCTCCTCCTCACCCCGCCCCCTCTCCCTCCCGGCCTCTGCCCCTCCCTCCGTCCCGCTCCCTGCCCCTCCCTTTCTTTTTCCTCCTCCTCTTCCTCACCCCTCCCTCGCTCCCTCCCTACTTCTGTCCCTCCCTCCCTCCTCTCCTCTCTCCGTCCCTCCCTTCCTTTTTCCTCCTCCTCCTCCTTCTCCTCCTCCTCCCCCTTCCTCCCTGGGCCCTGGCCCGGCCGTGGCGCCCTGGGGCCCAGGAGGGCCCGTGCCGCGCACGCCCGCCCTTGCCCCAGGATGGGGCCTGGGCGGGCTGCTGGTGCGGCAGCTCCCTGTCTCAGGCTGCCCAGGGCAGTGTCTTTTTGTTGCCCTGTTTTTGCTGTCGTGCCCATTTTCTCGGAGGGGTTGGCTGTGTCTGGTTTAACTCTTCGGCGTCTGAGCGTCCCTCATTCCTCTCGGCCGTCTCCCCTCCCTCCTTGCTTGCCGGCCAATTCGCTAGTTCGTGCCCCTATCTAGCTTCTCGCTGGAGCGGATTTCGCTGCCTCGCCGCTGACGAAACAAGTGTGTGTGTGTGTGTGTGTTTTTTTTTTTTTTTTTTTTTTTTTTTTTGTGTGTGTGTGTGTGTGTGTGTGTGTGTGTGTGTGTGCGCACGTGTCTGCCTCCAGGCGCTCTTTTGGGATGCTGTTTGTTGCAATTTTTTTTGGTAGTCCCATTTGTCTTCGGAGGCCTTGATCGGAACCTCGGGACGCCCCCGGTGGAGACCTCCATGGGGGCTTTCCAGGGGCCCTTGGAGGAGCGGGGAGGAGCGGGGGGCGGCTCGGAGCATGCTCGATGAGCGCACGGAAGAGCCCCAAGGGCAGATCCGCCAGTGCAGGTAGGGACGATGACGGTGTTGCGGCATACAGTGGGGGCCCATGCCGAGAAACATCCTGCTTGCCTTCAGGGCGCCCTCGATTTCTTGGGTTTCGATGGATTCGATAAATTCAATGGACGTCCTGGGGTTTCAGGGTTGGGTTTCTTGTGGGAAGTTTCTTGTTGAATGTTTCTTCGGTTTCTTGTGGAACATTTCCACTGTACTTGCTCGTGGGACGGTCGCAGGCGCCGTCACTTGTTGCGTACGCTGCATGGGATACGCCCACGTTGCACGATTCACAGGGCAACGATATAATAACGAGGAGTGTGGCCCCCAGGCTCGAACAAGCAATGGGGGTGGGAACGAGAGGCATAAGGACGGGGGGCCGAACAGCTAGCACGGCAGCAACATGGACACGGTGGATGGGGGAATCGTGCGACGAGGAAAAACGGGATGTGAAACGAATTGTTATGCTCTATTGTTCGGATATGTAACAATTCAGAGGGGTACCCCAGCAGGTATTCCCAGGGCCAGGCTGAAGACAGAGAATGAGTTCTTGCATCGTCGCCATATTTTGGCTCAAGAAAAATTTCCCCTCCCATCCATCACCAGAGTTTGGGGGAGGAGGATTGCTTTGCATGGTAGCGGAGCTTGATATGATCCACGGCATTTTGCTGAGTGACTCCAGGGAGTCACGGGTCAGCTTCCGCCATGGAGCAACAGGTGCAGCTGCAAGCACAGCAGATTGCCGAGCTGAGAGACTTGCTGCAGCGACAAGCGGCGGAGCTCCAGAGGATGGCCGCCGCACAACCAGCAGCACCAGCGCAAGCAGCAGCACCAGTGCCCCCAGCAGTGCCACGACGCATGGAAGGCATCCTTGACAGCAAGATAGTTGGGAAGGTCAAGCAGTTCGATGGCCAACGTTCGTCATGGAAGACGTTTGAGTTTCACTGGAAGGCCTACTTAGTGGCCAATGATTTTCGGTTTAGAAGGATGTTTCAGGCCATCGAGGACGAACCTGATGTGGCAATGCTGGTGAATGATGTGGGCAGTGTGAATAATCCAGATTTCGAGCCTCTCTCTAGCCAGCTGTACTTTATGTTGGTGCTGGCAATGCCAGAAGACAGCACGGGCGAGAGCATCCTCTCCAACACACCTGAGGGAGAAGGCGCCCTGGCATGGAAGAAGCTGTTGAATGAGTACTCTCCCAATGAGCCAGGGAACATAGTCGGACAGTTCAGGAAGATTCTAGGTACGGTGTTCCCCAAAGATGCGGACATCGTCACGGAGATTATGAAGTTAGACAAGGAGATCGCCCGCTACGAGAAAGCGAGTGGCGAGACGGTCTCAGCGAACGTATCACGAGGGATCCTTCTAGGGGCTCTCTCAGAGGAACCCGATCTCCAGAAGCACTTGTTCCGCAACCTTCGGAGTTTGCCAACCTACGCCGACATGAGAGCAGAAGTGGTGAACGCCCTTGCAGCCCAGAGGAGCGTGAGTGACGACGCCATGGAGATTGGAACACTCAAGGGCGGCAAGTCCAAGGGCGGCAAGGCGAAGGGCGGCAAGGACGGCAAGGGCAAGAAAGGCAAGGGCTACGACTCCCAGAACGCCGAGAAGTGGTGCAGCTACTGTGAGAAGCCTAACCATGTACGCTCGGAGTGCCGCAAGAAGGCTGCTGATGATCGGAGACGGGATGCAGAGGAGGCCGCGATGAAAGCCAAGCATGACAAGAAGGATCGGCAGAAGCAGCGAAGAGCTCAAGCTAAGGCTGGAGCCTTGTCTGCAGGCACAGCACCGTCACTGCCGACTACGGGGGCGCTGCCGACGGCGCCGCCGACGAACCCAGGTGCGACCGGTACTGGGCCGTCGTGTGCAGCGAGCAGCGCGAGCACCATCCCTGTTGGGCTGCGGGCTTTGACTTCGAGCTCGGACGCCACATCCAGCACCCTCAACACCAAGTTTGTTTTCGGGCTTGAGGCGATCGAGGCCGAGGAGAGGCATGCGAGCCTCGCAGCGGTCAGCCACAAGCCGAAGGACGCGATCATGATCGACAGTGGTGCGCAGATCTCGGCGATGCCCAGCCAGATGGTGTACGACGCAGGCTACGCGATCCAGAGATCAAAGATCCACGAGCTGCATGCGATCGACGGGGGCAAGGTTCCCCACCATGGTCGTACCGATGTCAGGATTCGACGAGGAGATGCAGTCCTGCAGCTAGGCATGGAGGTAGCCGACATCGAGTACCCCGTCCTCTCCACAGACGCCATCACGAGGCGAGGCTAGTCCGTGTTGCACTCGCCGATGGGAGACTGGATTGTGGACGCTCCGATGCTGCCGCCCGAGGGCGCCGAGGTGATCAAGCTGAAGAAGGAGCGCTCGGCCTGCTACTTGGAGTTCGACGAGCTGCTGAAGGACGGCCAGAACGCCGAGCAGAGCAAGGTCATGGCTGCGCTCCGCCCGCAGGAGTTAGAGGGCTCCGTGGGGATCTTGGCTGCAGCCCGCAAGACGCTGGCACCCACGACTGCGCCAACGAGCTCGTCTGGGGCTCTGCCTCGAGCGCTTGGACCAGACCCCTCAGAGAATGTCACCCTGAAAGCGAAGGAGCTCACGAGACCAGGACAGCCGACGGCGCAGGAGAGGCGTGCCCATGCAGCACACCACCTGCCCTTCAGGCCCTGGTGCCCCGAGTGCGTGATGGGGCGAGGCCGTGAGCGACCTCATCCGAAGCAGCAGGACAGCCCTGAGCTCGACGCGGACCAGGTGCCGATCGTGGAGATGGACTTCTTCTTCGCAGCTACTGACGACATCGCCAAGAAGTACCCGATGCTCCACGGCTTCGTTGTGAAGCTCGTCGAGGCCAAGCGCATCCCCAGGGACGAGAGACGCACGATGATCCCTGTGCTGAACATCGTAGACGGGAGGTCGAATGCTATGGGCACACTGATGACGAACAAGACGGTTGGGCAATATAAGACTCTGTACGTGGCAAAGCTGATCGACTCGTGGGGTCACACCACAGTTGTTCTACTGACTGATGGCGAACCCGCTATCGTGGCCATAGCCGAAGATGTCAAGAAGCATCGGAGCCATGGCACCATCGTTCGTAAAGCCGCAGCGCATTCTCATCAAAGTATGGGGCGCGTGGAAGGCGCCAACTCTCTGGCAGCGGGCCTCTTGAGGACCTTCAGGTTCGCGCTGGAGAAGCGGTTGGAAGTCACGATCGACGCCGACCACCCGATCCTACCCTTCGTGACGAACGCGATCGGCTGGTATATCACACGATTCCAGCCGCGGGAGCACGGAGGGTCCTCCTACAAGTTTCTCTTTGGCAAGGAGTACGATGGAGAAGTCGCCGAGATCGGCGAGCAGGTTTGGTATCGGATCGCTGGGCGGGTAGCCAGCGGTCAGGGCAAGTTCGAGGCCCGCTTTGCCAAAGGCGTGTGGGCAGGCAAGTCGGAGTTTGACGACCAGCACCTAGTCGTGGACTTGCAGCGCGGGCTCCTCAAGGTGCGCACGGTGCGTCGCATGCCCGAGGAGTTCCGCTGGTCCGAGGACCTGCTGAGGCAGATCAGCGTGACGCCCTGGGACCCCGCGCCAGCTAGGGCCAAGGAGATTGCGAGGCCCAAGGGCCTCTACATCACAGAGAGGATGATTGACAGACATGGACCGACTTCAGAATGCCTCAAATGTTCCACGGGGCGAGGACAGCACTCCGACGCTTGCAGGCAGAGGTTCGAGCACATCGTCCAGGAGGAGCTCGAGCGGAGGCTCAAGACTGAGGGAGCCTCGCCAGCGACACCAGCGCCGCCTGGCGTGGAGCCTGGCTCGCCCGTGCCCGAGAGTGCGCCTGGTCCTAGTCAGCGCTCGCACCCTGAGGACCGAGCGCCGGGCACACCGAGGCCAGGAGCGCAGGTGCAGGAGGCCACGGCGGACCAACCCCCCAGGAGCTCTGTCGGGAACATCCCCGACACGCCGATGGACACCAAGGAGGACACGACTCGCAAGCATCAGGTCGAGGCTGCAGGATCCGAGGGCCAGGGCGGCAAGCGCCAGAGGATCGAGCTTCTTGGTGAGGCCTGAGGTGACAGTCATAGCGGGCATGTCGGTGTGTGAGCTCGCGGTCTGCGAGGCGGGCGACTCCGAGGAGTACGACCCCGTCTGGGACCCGATCCCCACGGCCGAGAGCCGATGTGACGGCAGATGCCCATCACATGGAGGACGGTGTGCACTTCGAGCTGACCACCGTGGAGGCTGCGCCTGTCGGCTGTGCCTGATCCATGCTGCGCGTGCCGTGGAGGCCCCGAGCGCAGTGGTGGCAGGCCTGTACAGCATGTGGGCGGGCGGTCTGGATGACGAGGTTGAGAGCCCGCAGATGGTCCACTACGACTACTACTCAGGCGAGCCGTTGGACGAGGACCTCTACCAGGAGGGCAGGCGCGACGAGCTGGAGGCGATGATTGAGTACGGTGTCTACACGGAGATCCCCATCTCTCAGTGCCAGCCAGGGGGGAAGCACGTCAGGGGCTTTCCGATCGCCCACATGAAGGGCGACAAGGTGCGCTGGAGGTTCGTCGCGACCGAGGTGAACGACAAGCACCGCGAGGACAACCACCAGGGCACGCCGCCGCTGATGGTCATCAGGCTGATCATTTCCCTCGCAGCATCCAAGTCTGATGCTGACGGCGTGCACCGTCGTCTGCTGCGTGTCTGGGATGTCCGCAAGGCGTTCTTCAATGCAGACTTGGACGAGCTGGTCTACGTGCATCCAGGATGGGAGCTGTGTCCAAAAGGCTTCTGCTGGGTTTTGCACAAGGCGATGAACGGGACGAGGAAGGCCTCGCAGCTCTGGGGCGAGACGAGCAAGGCAGCGATCGATGACGCAGGAGGCAAACCGCTGAAGGGCACAGCTGGGACCTACTACTTCGAGAACTTAGTGGGTGACGGCATGGACGCCACGATGTGCTGCCACGGTGATGACTTCTTGGCGGAGGGCCACCGCGACACCCTCGACGCCATCGGCAACTTCTTGGAGGCGAACTTCGAGGTCACCGAGTCCGAGAGCATAGGCCCAGGTTACCTTGGAGAGCTGAACTACTTGAAGCGCATAGTGGGCTACACGAGTGAGTTGCCCGAGACCAGGATGCCAGGCTTCTACTGGAGTGCTGATCCGAAGCGCGTGGAGGAGCTCATCCGCTGGGGCCACAAGTCGGGCTCCAAGGCTGCGCCTACCCCTGGAACAAAGGCTACGGGGGCAGGCATGAGGAATGCCCTGGACCCACTGCCCGTGGCCGAGGCCAAGTCGACCTCTTCAGCGGCAGGACTGAGCCTGTATGTCTCGAGTGACAGGCCTGATGCTATGTTCAGCTCCAAGACGATTATGCAGCACGTCAGCAAGCCAAACGTCCTTATGAACGCACGTCTGCACCGGCTGTGCAGATACTACGAGGGCGCACCGAGGCTGCTGTGGTGCTATGAGCTCCAGGACTTACCAGAGGTTCTCCGAGTGGACGCGGATGCCGACTGGGCGTCTACGACTAGCCTCTTCAGGACTTCGACCTCTGGAGGAGTTGTTCGTTTCGGAGGCCACACGGTCGAGGCGTTCGCAGTCAGCCAGGCTACTCAAGCGTTGTCGTCAGGAGAGTCGGAGTTCTACGCCATCGGGAGTGGAGCTGCAAGAGGTTTGCAGGCGAAGCACTTCCTTGGAGAGGTGGGCGTCACAGTGCGCCTTGTCGTGGCCAGCGACAGTGCTGCAGGCAGAGGGATCTGCCAGCGCCACGGTGTGGGCAAGGTGCGCCACCTCGAGTTACGGTATCTCTGGCTACAGGACCGTGTACGGTTGCGACAGCTGGAGTTGATCAAAGAAGCGACCACGGAGATGGTTGCGGACATCCTCACGAAGTATGTGGAAGCAGAGACCCTGTTTAAGCACATGGCGACCATGAACCTGCGGCTCGTGCCGCTCGGAGCAGTAGTGGTGAGCGCGCTGCTACCGACGGTGCGCGGCCAGGAGACGGAGGAGGGCGCCAAAGGCGCGCCCTGGCTACTGATTGTGATGGCTTTGAGCTTAGCGTTGCTGTCTTTTCTAGTAGGCTGTTGTGCTGGAGCCAGAGTGGGCTCCACTGCGGTTTGCTACGAGTGTCCCGAGACGCTGAGTGATGACAGCGCAGCTCCTGAGCAGACCGCAAGCGACGGAGATGCGAGAGTGCAGCTAGTTCTTTCAAGGCTGACAGTGCCTGACCTACGAGCCATTGCTCGTGCGAACAAGATCGGCCTTGGGGTGGGCTATGTAAGGAAGCAGCGCCTGATCGAGATGATCATCTCTGCTGGCGCGAGCCCCACCTGTGAGCAGGCAGAGCGCCTAGAGAGCGTTTGTGCCGTTCTTTCCAAGGCTGGTCTGAGTTGTTTTGTGCAGCCACGCCTGCTATTCACGAAGCAGGGGCTGGAGAGTCATTTGGTGCTGTTAGAGACGGCTTGCACGCCGTTGCGGAAGATCTCGGATTGATCACCGAGATTGGAAGCAGTGATGCAGTTTTTCGGCCCTTCACCGCTCCATGCCTGAGGAGAGGTGTTCGGATATGTAACAATTCAGAGGGGTACCCCAGCAGGTATTCCCAGGGCCAGGCTGAAGACAGAGAATGAGTTCTTGCATCGTCGCCATATTTTGGCTCAAGAAAAATATCCCCTCCCATCCATCACCAGAGTTTGGGGGAGGATGATTGCTTTGCATCTATATACTTAAAAAATCCAACAGGCATGTTTACTATTATAATTATACACACATCTACATCTATATGTATGTATGTATATATGTGTATACACATATGTTCACACATATATATATATATATATACATATATATATATATATATAAAAATATGTATATATGTATTTATATATATATATACAGGTGACATGCTGGACAAACGACACTGCACGCGCCACGTCGCTTTGCCACTCCAGAGGAACAGTTGTTCATAGCAGTGCAGGAAGCGAGCGGGGCTTAGCTCGCTAAGCACCTGTAGTTAGGCGCGCCGCCAGATCTGCGGGCGGCCCGCGGGAAATGAAATCCAGGCCAGGGTCTCGCATCATCAGCAAGGTGTCCACCGTCGTCGCCCTGGGAGAGCGTCGCGAAGCAGATGCAGCCAGAGGGCGCCCAAACCCTCCACGTCCTTGCGCCCAACGTCGGCAATGACTCTGCGGTGCATGGTCTGGCCGTGGCAGGCCGTGGACGTCATCTTGCTGGACCTCCCAGCAGCCTTCGCAAGTGGCGACCGTTTCGCCGATTGCAAGCTCCCCAGGGACGACGAGGTCTAATGTCAGGTCTGTGTAAGATTTCACTCCTCTGGACCCCCAGCAGTTTTCGAATGTGGCGACAATTTCGCAGTTCCCCCCCAAAGGCCGGCGACATCTGATCTATTAGATCCGCTTGGGGCGCCACTCCGCTGGAACCCCCAGCAACCCTCGAAAGTGTCGACCGTGTCGCGGTTCGGCGCCCCACGGGGATGGCGTGGTCTAGTTTAGAGTCGCGTCAAACATCAGTCTTCTGGACCCCCCCAGAAGCCCTCGAAAGTGTCGACCGTTTCGCGGTTCGGATCTCCCCAGGTATGGCGAGGTTTGATTTAGATCCGCGTAAGACGTCACTCCTTTGGACCCCTCCCCGCATCCCGAAATTGTCGGCACTTTCGGAGTTCGCCCCCCCCCCCCCCCCCCAGAAGTTGCGGGGTGACGTAGGATGGCGAGGTGGAAGACAAGCTGGCAGGCAGGACAAGAGAGGCAGGCGGAATGACAAAACAGGGAGGGAGGTGAGAGGCAAGAGGGACGAAAGGAGGAGGGAGGCAGGAGGGAAGTGTGCGACCGCAGTACTATGTTCCGAGCGAGAACCCAACGCAGGACGGTTGGGAAAAAAAGGGTTGATGCGCCACAGGCGTCAGAATAGTTGGGTCGAGCGGTCTTGCACCGTTCGTGGGTGCGTGGCTGAAATTGGGCTTCGCGGTGGGGATTCGCGTTGTTTTTTGTCGCCGTCCCACCCGCGACGATCCCGCGACCCACCCTGCGACCCAGCCGCGACACAATCCGTGACCCACCCCGCGACCCACTCTGCGCCCCCTTAGTTCATATCGGCCGCTGCGGGTTTCTACGATGAATTTACGTGCGTCTCTCCAGTGGAGTGTTCTGGGGCCCCAAGGGGAAGAAGCAGCATATGGGTCACCACTAAGAGCAAACGAATTTATTGAATCGCTTCGCTCATTCCGCCGGCCCGTGTTGTGCCATCGCGGGCGTTTGCTTGCGCGGTCGCGAGCCAGGCGGCGCTGGTGGGCCGTGGTCGTTTTCCAGAGGCGTTGCGGCAGAACGCATGGGGATGAAACAGTTTGTTTGGAGCTTGTTGTGGGGGCTTCGGCCTCTACTGTCTTACGAGGTGGCTATCTACTGCTACTGGTTTTCGGCCCATCCCGCCACCGTGCCTGGGTTGTAGGTCGGAGGCCTCTTGGATGTTCGTTGGGATATCGTGGCAGGCCTTTCGAGGGTTTCTTTGGCGGCAGTTTTGAGGGCTTTTTGGGGCCGTCGGGGGGCTTCTTGGGGCTTCTGTTGAGGCCTCTTGGGGTCTCTTGCAGGCCTCTTGGGGCCTCATGGGGGCTGCTTGGGGCGGAAGTCTCGAATTGTCGGTTCGTGTTCCCTCTCTTGGGTCCCTCTTGGGGCCCTCGTGGGGCTCTCTTGGGCCGTTCGGGCGTCTCGTGGGCCGTTCTGTTGCTGCTGCTGCTGCTGCTGCTGTTGCTCCTCCTCCTCCTCCTCCTCCTCCTCCTGCTCCTCTTCCTCCTCCTCCTCCTCCTCCCCCTCCTCCTCCTCGGAGCTTTGCAGGGATTTCTGTATGTTGTCGGGGTTCCTGAGGGTTCGCCCGGGGCCCGTCCCACCCCATTTTTGGGAGGAAATATGAGGAGGAAGAGGAGAACGTGGAGGAGAGGGACGTGGGGCAGGGATATGAGGGAGGGAGGGGCGATTAGAAGGATGTGGAGGCGGAGGATGATGAGGGCGACCGCTTCGAGGAGGATGGGGCCAGTCGTGCTTGACATCCCACATCATGCACGTTGCCGAATGCATGCGCATGTGGGCCGTTGGGGGATCGGTGATGTATGTGCGGTCTTTCCATTTTTCATATTGTTGGTTGTGTTTACATAAGACACGCAACCGACAACCTCTCATAATTCACGCTGACCTCCAGAACCCCCCCACACATTTCCAAGACCATCCCAAGCTCATCCTCATCCAATCGAAATTGGAGGAAAACGCAGTGAAGGATCCAAGGTTGAGGGACGCGAGAAAAACTTAGTGTTGGGGATCTGGGGAGGGGGCATACCGGAGAGCTCATGGATGCTTCTGGGAGTCTCTTCTGGGAGCATTGAGTCTCTTCTGGGAGCATTGAGGAGCTTCTCAGGAGGAGTACATGTGACCCTCTTGGGAGCCCTTGGAGGCTTCTGGGAAGCTTCGTGGGAACTCTTGGAGGCCTCGTGGGGTCTTGGGAGCCCTTGGAAGCTTCGTGGGAGCTTCTTGGGAACTTTGGGAGGCCTCGTGGATGGCTCTTGGTGGGCCCTCTTGGTGGTCTCTTGGGGGGGTCTGCCTGGCCTCTTGGGGGCCTCCTGGGAGCTTCCTGGGGGTCTCTTGGGCGCCTTTTTGGGCTTTCTTGCGGCCTGTTGGGGGCCTCTTGGGGCTCTCTTGGGGGCTTCGTGGGGCTACTTGGGGGCTTGTAGGAACCTTTTCTCGGGGGCGCGTTTGGGCGGGAGGCTCAAACATTCCGTTCGGGTTGCCCCTGTGGACCTCAATCATGAGGCCGTCTTGGGGCCTCTTGGACCGTCTTGAGGGTTTCTTTGGCCTTTTTGGGGCGCTCTTGGGCCGTCTTTGAGCGGTCTTGAGGGTCTCTCGGGCCGTCTTGGGGTGATCTTGAAGGCCTCTTGGACCGCCTTGAAAGGTGTGAAACACGAGGATGCGGATCTGTTAGAAATGCACATTGTCCCAAGGGAATGAGACGATTTTTGCTTGTGGGAGCCCTCTTGGGGCGCCGCTTAGGGACCTCTTGGGGCGTCTTGAAGGCTTGTCGGGCCGTCTTGAGGCCATCGTAGGCGCTTGGGGTGTTATTTCGGCATCTCCCGGCTCTCTTGGACCGTCTGGAGGGCTTCTCGGGCCCCTCTTGGACCGATTTGGAGCCCTCCTGGGCTCCGAAAGGAGTTTTTGAGGGTTTCTTGGGCCTTCTTGGAGCGCTCTTGGGCCGTCTTTGAGCGGTCTAGAGGGTCTCTCGGGCCGTCTTGGGGTGATCTTGGGGGCCTCTTGGACCGCTTTGAAAGGTGTGAAAGACGAAGAGGTGGATATGTTAAAAATGCACGTTTTCCTAAGGGAATGGGACGATTTTTGCTAGTGGGAGCCCTCTTGGGACGGCGCTTAGGGGCCTCTTAGGGACCTCTCGGGGCGTCTTGAAAGCCTGTTGGGCTGTCTTGAGGCCATCGTAGGCGTTTGGGAGTGATATGTCGGCGTCTCCCGGCTCTCTTGGACCGTCTGGAGGGCTTCTCGGGCCCCTCTTGGACCGATTTGGAACCCTCCTGGGCTCCGAAAAAGAGTTGTTGAGGGTTTCTTGGGCCTTTTTGGAACGCTCTTGGGCTGTCTTTGAGCGGTCTTGAGGGTCTCTCGGGCCGTCTTGGTGATCTTGGGGGCCTCTTGGACCGCCTTGAAAGGTGTGAAAGACGAGGATGCGGATCTGTTAGAAATGCACATTGTCCCAAGGGAATGGGACGATTTCTGCTTGTGGGAGCCCTCTTGGGGCGCCGCTTAGGGACCTCTTGGGGCGTCTTGAAGGCTTGTCGGGCCGTCTTGAGGCCATCGCAGGCGCTTGGGAGTGATATTTCGGCGTCTCCCGGCTCTCTTGGACCGTCTGGAGGGCTTCTCGGGCCTCTCTTGGACCGTTTGGAGCCCTCCTGGGCTCCGAAAGGAGTCTGCTTGGAGTCTGCCGGGACCTTGCTGGGAGTCTGCCGGGACCTTGCCAGGACCTTGCCAGGACCTTGCCGGGGTACTTTTCGTCTGGGGACCCCCAGGGCCCGCCCCGCGCGCGCGAACCAGAAATATTGTTGAGCAGTTGCCGGAGATCTTAGCACGCCTCTGGCCCGTTGGGCCGGCGAATACTTCCCACCTTCCCTGAAGGCGCAGGTGTAGGTTACCAACCAGGGTCCATTTCGATCCGGTCGATCCAATTCGATATCGGTTTTGGCCAGTCCGATCCGATTCGATTCCGATATTCCGACCATCTGGTGCGGCCCGATGCTTGCATGGGCTGTTATGCGTCTTGGCGCGGTCGATCCGATTCGACTTCGTGCCGATGCGGCCCTGCTCCAACCCGATCCGATATTATCGGTTCGATGCTGACCGCTACTGCCTTCCGTGAGTGAACATGTACGAATCACTGGCGGGCGTCCCAACACAGGATGGATTCCAATTGGATGTTAACCTGGGTTCGTAACGTTC